CCCGGGGCAGCGGCGGTGCTCGTAAAAGGTGGCAAATGTTGCCGGGTGCTCTCAGGGCTCAGCTGCAGCCCAGGGCGAACATCGCCCATCCTCTCTTCGGGAGCAGAGCTCATCTTGATGGTATTTAACGGGCAACAGGATGGCTTTCTGAGACCACGTCTTCCAAACACTAAGCCGGGGACGGTCTCGTTGGCTCCTCGCGGGAATGTGACAAAATAATTACTCCGTGTGGAGTAAGGATGTGTTTTGTTAAAGAAAGAAAGAAAAGAAATCACATATTTCCATGGCAATGAAGTAGAGAGGGCTTTCGTATGAAGCCTCCACATGCCTCTCCTCTCTCTCTCTTAAAAAAAAAAAATCTATTTATGCTCTGAGCTTTATTTTCACGTTCACGGCAGATACGGAAATTGCACTTTACGGCTTAAAAGAAATGTTAAACGGGGACGGCTCTCTGAAGACAAGGTGAGGTTGGCTGTTTCGCACGTGGCGGTCCTGAATGTGAGGGTTTGCCTCTCCAGGAGGGAGACGGGAGCTGGCGGAGGCCGGAGACTCCCCCAGTCTCCATCGGGCTCTGGATGCTGTGCGGGCATCTTCCCAGCAGGCAGCAGAGCTTCTGTAGCCCCAGGCCCTTTGCTTTGGCCACGCCGCTGGGCAGCATTTTTGTGGTGACAGCCGGGTTGCCAGGGCCAGAGTTCTCGCCTTCGCCTTCCCCTTCCCCTCTCAGACCCACATGTGTCACAGAGTGGACATGGCTAATCCCCACAGGGACAGGGCCCCAGAGCACTGATCTACCTGGGTTGGCGGTGTGTGTGTAAGTGTGTGTGTGTGTGTGTGTGTGTGTGTGTGTGTCCACCACCCACACTTGCATTTCACTGCTGTGGGCTGCCCAGTTGGCCATGGACTCATGGCGGCCCTACGCAACCGGACAGAAAAGCTGTGTGGTCCCGCGCCCCTCCCCGGTCCATCGGAAGGCTGCTGCCCGTCGTTCTGGCAGGGCAGGGCCTTCAGTACATTTCCCTCATCTCTGAGTCACTTGCCCCAGTGCATGGGTGGGTCTCACTGTGAATGAGCTTGGTGACCCACTGGCTGCCCCTGTCGTTGACCATGCCCTCTCCTTTTTAGTGATGAGGAGCAGAGTGCAGCAGGAGGGGTGGGGTGTCCTCAGTGGCCCCCGGTTATCTCCCCACTCCCAGCCCCCCCCTGAGGCTGGCTATCCCCTTGCAGCAGGCCCCTCCCCCTGGAGGACCCCCTGGACCTGGCAGCACAGGCCATGAACCTTCTTGGCCCCCCACGGCCTGAGCTGCGGCCTGAGCTGCGGGCTCGCCCACACGGAGCCTCTCACTGACACCCCTCCAGGCTCTGCACAGCGTGTCCGGCCCTCCGGGTGGCAGAGGCCGTCTCCCTTTGTATCCCCTCTGCTGTGGCGGGGTTCCCGCTGGCCATTTTGGATGTGTAGCGTAGCTGCCCTGCACAGGGTCCAGCCTGCCACCTCTACTGGAGGGGACGCCCCCAGGACTCTGTTCCGAGCGCAGGATCTGCCCAGGAACACGGAGCTACACTTCTTCCGCCTTTGTGCTGAAGGACGGCTCTCTGGTTTTGGAGCACACGCTCTTTGCTTACACACGTGTGCACGCACACACGTGTACACACAAAGCACACATGGACACACACACACATACAGCTTCAAAGGCGTGTGGAGAAGGGAAGGGGAAGATAATGGCATCTCCCCCACAAACCCGCTGAAGCCCCTCAGACATGTATGTGACTACCACTCCCTCCCCTCGGGCCCTCCTCCCCTCAGCCACACGGGAGCTCCCTGCAGGCAGAGACTAAACCCCGAGGTGGCCAGCGCAGTGCCTGGTGGACACAGGGCCGTAGGAGCACACAGTACGCAGGACTCACGGCAACCCTACAGAGCAGGGAAGAGCTGCCTCTGTGGCCTTCCGAGACGAGCTCTGTGTGGGACCAGAAAGCCGCCTCTGGGCCCTCGTTGGGCCCGGTGCTCTCACAGGGCAAGTGCCACCACCATGCCTCCAGGCTCCAGCAAGGGGGCGAGGCCAAGGAGGGCCCCCGGGACAAGGCTAGTGCCCTGAGTGTCTGAGTCTGTGGAAGCTCCCCAGAGAGGTGACCATGGGGCCCAAATCCCCACCTGCGGCCTCAGGGAGCCCCTGTGTGATGCTGACAAGGGGTGTCTACAAGCCAGAAGGAACCAGAAAGAACTGGAAGGTATGTAGCCTTCTAGTAGCCGGAAGCAGCAGTAAGAAGTAGGAAAGCCATTGCTTGGGGTGCCGGGGCCTCTTCTTAAATCCTTGGCACCAATTTGGCTTCATTTCTGGGGGATGGAGATGCTGTTTTAAAGGTAACACATGGTGGTTTAAAAAAAGACTTTGAAGAGCCCAATAGGGGAGCCCTAGGGGCACAGTGCTAACCACAGGGTCGGCAGTTCAAAACCACCAGCCGCTCAGCAGAGGAAGAGGCGGCTTTCTACTTCCGTTAAGACTGACCGTCTTGGAATCCCACAGGGGCAGTTCTACCCTGTCCTGTAGGGTCGGCATTGGCTTGACGGCAGTGAGTTTGGTTTCTGGGAGAGCCCAGAAAATCCACAACCACCCCCAAGCCTCACAGCCCTAGGCCGTCCGTCTGTCCCCGACTCCGGGATCCTTCTTGAGGCCCGCATCGACGCTGCCCCTGGCGACGATTCAACCTGTAACTTTTCAGCTTAGTCCACGCCACATGGAATGGGGGCATGTGTCCCTTCTACAAATACTGGCAGGAAGCACTGGCCGCAACGATCGCCGGCCGTTTCCGACTTCGCAGACCACCTCTTGAGAGACTCAAAGAAAGTAAAGGATCGCCTGCTTTCAAGATCCGTAGACGGATCCCGAGCCCTTGGCCCAGCCCTTCCCGCTGTGCCAAGGTGCCACCAGGAAGAGCTGGGGGTTGCGAACCCAGGGCTCCCCGCAGAGAAGATGGCAACGAGGGAAGTGCCACTCTTGGACTGAAGGAGCCGAGACCGGGACGCGGTGCCCTTTGCCCTGATGTGTGGCAGCCTTTAGATGACAGGGCTTGGCCGAAGGGTGTCAAGAGGACAAAAAGTGAGGTCCAGGATTGTCGTGGAGCCGAGATGGACAGTGTTGGAGAAACGTGGCTGCGAGGAGTGAGACAACAAGAAGACAAAGCGAAACAACAAAGCAAGGAACAAAACAGCAGTCTAATATGGGGAAACATCACACCGGATGACAGCAGATCTAAGCGCCCGGGGAAGGAGGTGCCTCGGGGTCGGGTCTGTCCTCTCACTGCACTTACTCAATCTGTGTGCTGAGCAAATAAGCAGAGTGGTGGACGACACACCGGGAAGAACGGGGTCTCGGGATTGGGGACGGGCTGAGCAATCACCTAATGTGCAGGTGGCACAACCTCGCTTGCAGAAGTGAGGATGACGAGAAGCCCTGGCGGAAGAAGATCCAGGACTGCAGCCTTCAGGGTGGATTGCGGCTCAATGGAGAGAGGACCAAAGTCCTCACACCTGGACCCACAGGTGACATCGTGAGCAGAGGAGCAAAGATGGACGTTGTAAGGATTCTGTCTTGCTTGGATCCACCGTCGATGCTCATGGAAGCAGCCGTTGAGGGACCAAAGGATGTACTGCATTGGGCAAATCTGCTGCAAAAGACCTCGTTCAAGGGCGTTATGTAGCATTTGCATGTGAAAGTTGGACACTGAATAAGGAAGACCGAAGGGAAATGGTGCCCTTGAATTGTGGTGCTGACGAGGAACATTGGACGCATGTTGAAACACTGCCGACAGAACAAACAGCATGTGCCTAGAGCCAGAGTGCTCCCTGAAAGCGAGCATGGCGAGACTTGTCCCACACTCTGGGGACATGGTGCCAGGAGAGAGTAGTCCCTGGAGGAGGGCATTGGCAAAATGGAGGGGCGGCGAAGAAGAGGAAGGGTGCCCGGCAAGACAGACGGATGGACGCAGTGGCTGCAGCAATGGGCTCAAACAGAAGAACAATTGTGAGAATGGCGCAGCACCAGGCAGTGTTTCCTTCTGCTGCACACGGGGACACTACCGGTTGGAACCAACACACACACACACACACACACACACACAC